TCTATACAAGAGTAAAAATTTAAAAGTCCTGTATATAAAACTCAATGACATGAGCATTTTCTTTTTCTTTGGAAATTGTCCTAGTTTGCTTCCTATAGCTCGGTAAAATACCATGACCAAAGCAACTTCAGAAGGAAAGGGTTTATTTTATCGTATAGTGTCAGGTAACAATCCATCACTGAAGGAAGACCAGGCAAGAAGCCAAGCAGGGCAGGGACCTGGAGGCAGGATCCAAAGCAGAGACCATGGAGGAAGACTGCTTACTGACTTGGTCCCCATGACTTGCACAACCTACTTTTCTTATACAGCCTGGGCCACCTGACCAGAGGTGTATGGGAGCCCGCTCCCACATTTTGAAGGTTCTTAGGTGGAGAGAAAGGAATTAAGAAATAATAGATAGAAAGAGAGACCTAGCTGACAAGAAGAAAAACAGAAACACAGGATAACTTTAAGAGGTCCTGGATCAATACCCAATAGCCACTTTGTTTATTCAAAGGGTTTTTTGTTTGTTTGTTTGTTTGTTTGTTTGTTAACAATGCCAAGGTGCAGGGCAAAAGACCTCCCCCTAGCAAGATCAAATATACCATATGGCCAAGTGTAGATAGATCCTTTCAAATACCTAGTAAACAAGCCCATGGTCAAATCATCCCATTATGCAGCCCTGCTGGGTAAAGCAAGCTCAAATTCTCAGACCCTGAGTAATTTCTCACTCAGAAGCCTCTGTGATCTCCCACAGTGGTGTCCTTGAATCAATCCATTATCAGGTCAAAGCTCTCATGAACCAAACTCTTCCTAAAAGCTTTGCCTCTATGCATTGCATTACACACCCAGTATTTAATGCATGAATTTCTAAATTAGACGATACCGATTTAAATATATAGCCCATACAAAACCAGTATAAGACGAATATGATAAGGTCTCAGAGGCATGTCATGTCATTCCTGGTTAACTATTCTTTAGGCGAGAAGTAAAGGAAGAAATTTAAAATAAGGAAAATGATCAGCAGGGTGTAACTCACTAGGGAGAACAATCAAAGGAAGAGCTGGAGAATGTCCATTGTTTGGTGTTGAAGGCCTTACTTGTCTAGACAAATGTTGAGAATATAGTCCTGGGATTTTGTCTTTGTCCCTGCTGGAGGATGGGACCAAACTCAAGGTGGCAGCAGATATTATCTATGAGTTACCTATGTTATAGACATGGGGAAAGGAATTCTTTCATTGGAAAAATGTAAGCTACAAAACTTCTTTGCTTCTGGAAATCTAAGATTCTATCCAGGAATAGTGGTAGCCCAACTCTGAAATGTCTGTCAGCAGTAGTTGTTAACAGCAGGACTCTCCTCCCAGGTCTGCCCTCATTAGAAGTGGCGACACTAAAGCTGTGTACATCCAGTTGTTAGGAAAGCCCTTCTAGGAGCCCATGGGCACCTGGACCCTCTAGGTGCACAAACTTAGCCATGATGCACCATGCAAACAAGCTGCCCTCATCTGGTGTGCGCCTCACTTTTCTTTTCCACTTTCAATTCAGACTGAACATTAATATCAGAAGTTTTGATAATCACCCATGAACTTCATGTTTTTTAAAAGGTAGTGTAGCTCTCTTCCTGTAGTGTAACCATAGCAACTGACAGGAACAGAGAGAGAAAGCTTTCACACATGCTGTGCTAATTAATCCTGTCCTACAGTTTCCCTTCAGCTGGAAGATGCAGTTTAATAAATTTTGCATGAGTAAGCAGGTTTTGATTTGTGAACTTTACAAAAACATAGTGTTGTCTTTACCAAAAAGATTGGGAAATGGCACTAGAAAATCACATTTCAAGGTATTCTTTTAAAAAAACCATGGTTTAAGTAATTTGGTCTTTTCTGGAAAAACATATGGTTTTCTTTTCTTATTAAATGAATATAAATATCCTTAGAGTGAACACTTTTGTTCATTGATGTATGGTACACCTTCAAAACTAACAGCTTTTAACTGACCATATCCCCTCAAGAGATGGAGAAAACTGTATTCTGAAATTAAAGATCCTTATTTCCTATATGACATATCTATGTGCAAACTCTCTTAAAAAATAACCTTTTTAAAAAACTTGGAAAACTCATCCTCGTTGCTCTTTTGGGAAGTATTGTAGCCCAGCTGATTGAAGTTGTGGCTCTCTTTGACCTAAGTATGTGAGACCCAAGAAAATAGTGTAGACTAGGAACTTCTATTTGTATTTTCCACAAATACTTAACCAACTTAATAGCTCACATTTGGTCTGCAATCACATGTAATAGTTGATTTCACATGTAATCATATTTAGGGCATTCTAAAGTTTCTTTTTTTTTCAACTTAGACCATCACTTTCTATTTAATAACTAGCCTGATTGTCTAAACTGTCAAAGAAAATCTCACGTTTTTCCATTTTCCTATCTCAGTTTCAGCTGTCTGACAATAAGGCCTCAGGAAAAGCTGGAGGATCTAGCTTGTATGCTCTGGCATCCCATTTGACTTGACAGCCACATATGGGATGAGTCAGAACCTATTTCCAGACCTGTCCTTGGCTCGTTGGTTTCTATATGGAAATGTAGTTGTGTGGGGAGCAGACCTTTGATGAGATTGCCAATTTCTGCAGACACTTTCCCTGACTTATTGTCAGATTAATAATACAGTTTTGTCAGAATTGAGAAAGGATTAAACCTTGCCGAATAAAGAACATGCTACATGGAATCTGTGGTTGAACACAGTTCTATTTGTATGTAGAACATTAGGTGTAGTAATGAGTATTTTTGTATATTTTTATATCTATACATTTTTGTATGGGATATATGTGAGCATTAATGAATTCTGTATGTCATCACTTTATTTTAAAAACTACACTGTAGAAAAATGACTATAATGATAATTGAATTAATTATCAACTTTTTGTCTTACCAGCTACCCTATTAATTACAAAATTTACATATAACCCAGAAGATTAACAGCTATGGCTAAAAAAACAGGAAGAAGTGATGTTCTTAAACATCTCTGATAATTTTAATATATCATTGAAATGAACATGCTTAAAAGTAGGTCCACAACAAAACTTTGCATTATATTATATCAAGTGTAATACTGATAAGCAATCCTTCATACTTGTGGTGTAGATTTGTTTCATAACTGTGAAAAAGTGCCAGAGGTGTTAGTGAAGGAATGGTTTCTTTTTGCTCATGGTCCCAGAAGTTTTAGTCAACAATGGGCTGGTGCTGTTGGTTTTGGACATATGTTGAGACAGAATATCACAGTAAAAAAAGCCCATGTTGGAACGAAGCTGCTCACCTTGTAGCTGTCAGGGAGCAAGTAGAGAAAGATTGTCACCCTGACATCTCCTTCAAGAGCATGACCCATTGAACCAACTTCCTTCCACCAGGCCTCATCTCCTGGAAAGTTCCATCAACTCCCAGTACCACTGTGAGCCACTGAATGGGTCTCTAACAAATGGGCCTTGAGGGTGCATTTCAGATCTAAAATATTGCATTAACCATCAATGACATAGCCAGATAATGGCCTGATATGACTTGTTTTACTTTCAAAGCAACATTGTGAGATGTATGACTTTTTAAAGAAGTAGAAGGGTGGGGGGAGATGGCTCAGTGGTTTAGAATGCTTGCTGCTCCTGCAGAAGACCTGAGTTCAGTTCTCAACACCAAATCAGGCAGATCACAACTACCTGTAACTCTACCCCAGGGAATTCAATGCCTTCTTCAGGCCTCCACAGGCACTCACATGCAGGTCAACATAGCACATGCATGTATGTATATATGTATGTGCACACACACACACAATTAAAAATAAAAATAAATCTTTTAAAAAAGGGAATAGACTGGGGACATAGCGTTGATAGTATGCTTCCTTAACATGTTTGGGGTGGGTATGTTCAATCCTTACAATCCAATGTAAATGCAATTAAACAGTTTTCAAAAAAGAATTAGTCATCACATACAAACTGGGGGAAAACACTCAGAAAAACTTACTAAATTATGAAAGGGACAGGGCTTGATGGATGAATCAGTATGTCAGTATGCAGTAAGAGCATATGCTAACATCCTGCACCGCAGAGGACCATGGCTGCCTTCCAGTGTCCACACCAGGCAGCTCACAGACACCTGTAACTCCTGCTCCAGATTTGATCCCCTCTTCTGGCCTCTGTGGGCTGCAACACTCATGTGCATATACCACCATACACATAAGTAAAAGCAAAATAAATCTTTTTAAAGATGGATAATCACACATTCCAGAGGTAAACTATGGAGGACATACATGAATACATGTTTTATTTTGCTGTCTGTGTGTGAATATTTTTGATTTCTAGGTCAAATTGCATATTTTCAATTAATTTTGCCACTTTTTCCCCATTGCAGTTGATGTCAACTTTCATCATCTATCTGTTCCAGTTTGCTTATCACTTTATAATTATATAGCTCATGAGTTTTTAGATATACCTCCCCAGTGTGTGTCCACTTATGAGTCTTTGAGAAACACTCACCATAAGAATTTTTTTTAGCAACTTATTGAGAAAAGTATTGCAATTTCTTCTTACAGATTCAATAGATGTGTAAACATTGGTAGCACTGATCATTTGTAGAGCTGGGAGACGTTAGCTTTCTTAATATATCTTTTCTGCAAGTTATTTGCCTAAAGAACCCTTACTGATACAACTTATAAGTTTGGAACTCTCAGAACTAAGTTCTGCTAAACAGATGAAGTAGCCAGGAGATTCTAAAGTAGTTCTGATTTTATTTAGCGATATTTATCAGATCTATAGCACAAATGCTTTATTTTCAATATGCATTATTTTATAATTTCTAACATGTTTAAAAACATAAAGACTACATATGTTCTCCTCAAACTTTGTGTTAACCTGACATTGTATTCATGAATCTGAATTACATTAGTGCTGTTTAACCTTTTAAAATGGAACATTTGAATTTAAAGCATGTGTTCTTTTCATTCCCAATTAACCTCCTTATGTTTTCCATAACCTACAGGTCTTGCAAGAGCAAAATCCGTCCCTAGCCACACATACTCCAATGAAGTGGTTACCTTGTGGTACAGACCTCCGGATGTTCTCCTGGGCTCTACAGAGTATTCCACCTGCCTTGACATGTGGTGAGAAATGAACACTTCAGCTAATCTGTGTGCCATGCTTGGTCTGGGCCAAACCTAGACAAACGTCTAACAGTTTGGAGGGAGATCAGTTGTGCAGGAGTGTTGCCTGTGTGTGGCAGTACTGTTGCCTCTTAAAACCTGGTTGGGAGTGGTAACTCATCAGAGTCTGCTCCAGATGGAACCTTCTAAGCATTCTTGATGAACAAGGTCAAGGGTTTTTTTTTTCCTGGTTTTTGGTTTTTCTTCATCAGTAATTTTCTGTGTAAGGTTGTAATTTATTGTTTTATTTTATAACAAGGAAGTGTGTCTCTCCAAAGAGTAGTAGGTTAAGAAGTAACATGTAATGAATTTACACATAATACATAGCTCTGGTAATTGGTTTGATTGAAAGTTGTTGATAACAGTTGTCCAAAATGAAATGCCTTGAGTTTTTAAAAATATGGAATAATTTCAGGAGAGTATCATTTCATGCAGTAGTTCTCCAGCTAATATACTAATATTTTTAGTATATTAGAAAAATTGGTAATATTTGTTGCATACTTGTTAATACTGACAAACTACTCTGCATTCCCAATTATGTGATATTTAAATGTCATAATCATCACAGGGAATGAATCTCATTCTTAACACTCTGGAGAGAGTCACATATGGCCATTGAACATGGCTTTTCCTTTTCTGGATTCACGATTAGGTTTGAAGTAAAATAATTCTTGTGGTTTGTGGCTGTTTTATAAAAGGGCCATTATTCTTGAATGATTATGCCCCTGTATTTAGAATTTAGCTACATGATCATATAATGTTTATGGCTTCAGTAAAACTTCAGTATGTATCATTTATCTTCCTCCTGTGTAGCTACTTCATGGTTCTACCCCCTCAGAAATCTTGGCTTTTAAAAATTAGGGACTTTATTAATGTGTGTTTAAGATACCCCTAGCTGTAGGATTTGGTGTTCTGTGTAGCCACTGACATCATCTGCAGCATCTCATGTACATGTAGCTATCATTGTAGGGTGTAGATATATAGCTTTCAATAAAACTGTAAGAATCTAGGCCATCAAACACCCAAAGATATCATAAATTTGTACGCCTTAACATAAATCTAATAACATTTTAAAGATTTTCTAAAATCACAAGAATAAATATCACCATCTATTGCTGAGTGGCTGGGTTAATCCATCTCTTCATCACACTTCCTGGCCTTGGCTTTTTAATAGCTATTTACTCTTTCTGTAGTTAATATTTTTCCCTAAGGATAGGCCTATCTTTGAGCAACATAGATACTTGGATCCTTAATTATAATGAGGGAAAGTTAGAGATAGAGGCCAGTGCACACACTAGGGTACCTGTTAGTTGCCTTCTTAATCACTTGCTACTTTCTGCTGTTAGTTGAGAGTTGCCTATGCAAATAATAATTATATCACCATCTTTTTCTATTTATTTTGCATATGGAAATTCTCGGTTGTCTTTCAGGGAGTTCAGCTCAGGTCTCTACTAATAAAACGTGTTTTGAAATATTTGTGGTGTGGAGCCAGTTCTGTCTCAGTTGCTTGGCAATTTAGTCAAGACTGTACCCTCCTCACCACAAGAAGCTGTTCTTCTTGTGCTTCAATGGTGGCAAAAAACAAAAAATGTTTCTAAGGGACTAGGGACATGGCCCAGTTATGAAATGCTTGCAGGTGTGATGACCTGAGTTTAGCATGGTAGCACATACATGAAACACAGAAGGGAGGATGAGGAAGCGGGCAGAACACTGGGGCTCAACTTAGCCAAATCAGTGATTTCCAAACTCAGGGGGAGACCTTGTCTCAAAACTTGAGGTCAACAGCAAGGACACCATTGACCTTGACACACATATATGTACCAACACTCATACATACACACACCCACACATATGTACAGCGTACAAACATAATGATGTTTAATAGATTGTGCTTATTGCTTAGTTGGATGGCCTGAATTCAGTTCCCCAAACCAATGTACAATTGTGAAAATGTTGGACAGACAGATCCCTGGGTTGCACTGTCCAGTCAGCCTTATTTACTTGGAGAACTCCACGCCAGTGAGAGAACTGCCCTCCTCCTGCAAAGGTAGGGAACTTCCAGAAAAACAACACTCAAAGTTGACCTCTGGCCTCCATATGCATGCATACTCACACACACATCAGTACACACATCCATCCATACACATGTGTGCACACTCAGGTTAGGGTAGAGGAAAATGCTCTTTTATAGTACCAAGTATAGGATGGGCTCTGACTTTGTAATATGTTTGTTTCTGGCATAGACTGTTTTCTCATCTGCTCTACTTCACCCTACCCTGTAGAGGGAAGTTTCTCCAGTCCTGCCTGGCCCAAGGTCTGGACAAATCTCTCCCACCCTTGGTCTCACAGCCGCCTATAAAATAATCACTGTATGGCCTATGGCTTCAGCTTCTTGCTAGCTAGCTCTTTCATCTTAAATTAACCCATTCCTATTAATCTATATGTTGCCACATGGCCATGGCATTACCAGTCTGCTGGCATCGTGTTGTTCCTTCAGTGGTGGCTGGCATCTCTCTCGACTCCACCCTTCTCTCTGTATCTCTGCTTGGAGTTTCCACCTGGCTATAAGCTTTCTTGTCATAGGCCAAAACAGCTTTATTTATTATCCAGTGGGAGCCATGCATATTCACAGCATACAGAAAGACATCCCACAGTACCACTCCATGGGTGTGAGAGATGGTTTGGTCACTTGCTGCCAATTTGCTTTGAACAGAGACATAATAGAAGCATCTGAAGAAGCCTGTTACTTAAGAGGAAGGGGAAATCTGATAGAAAACAGTGGACCCCAAATGCCCTGTTGTCGCCATGCCGACAGTATTCATTGCCAGACACAAATAGCAAATGTGTTAGGTTTGAGCTTCCTGTGCTTATTTTCAGTTTACTTCCAAGCCCTAAAATCTATGTTATGTCTATGCTATGCCTGTCATTCTGAATCTGATTTCATTCCAAGCAATTTTCTAAAAGCTGTTTTGCTATTTTGCAATCAGGTAAAAATGTATGTGTCTTTCCCACGAGAGGGACGTTCACAGGGCACTGATTTTTGCATAATCAATGGCATCGATGCAGGATATGCAGACACCTGGAAATGGGATTGTAATTGAGTCATGGCTCAGCTGTACCAAAAAGAAATACAAATATTAACCCAGGGACAGCAGCAGGGAGGCAGGTGGCAGGAGTTTCAGGCTATTTTTACAGTTCATTTACTGTCCTGGGGCTGGAGTAACTAAAAACTGATGATCCCTACACAGTGTTCAATAGCCACAGGCACTAAACATATTAATGAAGACACATATGCAATAACACTGTCAGCGTGTGATGAAAATCAGAGCTGGCACTGTTAGGAGCTTCTCCTGGAGGTCGCCAGCACCATGGCGATGTGTGAATGCAAAGTGCGACTTAAGAACTCACCGAGGTCGTTTTGATACCTTTGTTTCCCTTCATAAATGAAGATTAAATTGAACATTGACTCTTGTAAAACATCTATTAATGCTTGGATGTTGTAGCTCCTTGAAAGTCAAAGCATGGAAAAGCATTGCTAAGCTTCTAAACCAGAGAGACTTAGGGGGTTCTGAAGAGCACAGGAGGGGACGCATGGATATGGAGGCAGTGTATCTGTGTAGCTCTTCACTTGCTAGGGACTGCTGCTCTTTCTGAAGAGCTGGTATTTTAAATAAACTTGTCTTCCTTTCTACATGCTCAGAGCTGTGTTTGCAGCTGCACACATCTCTAAAGCAGACCATTGTTGGGGATTATTTTACAGCATTAATTTTTAATATCAGGTAACTAAATTATCTGTTGTTAATAAATGATTATCTCATCAAAGGCATTGTGCTTTAGAGGGGGCCTGTGGTATCAGCTACAGTGCCCCCCAACACAGTATGCAAAGAATGATGGTATGTCAAGCGTTTCCTATCATCATCTTTTTTAAAGCTAATTAACATATTAACTATGCTTGTCAAAATGTGGGGCAGATCATTTATAAATAAGCCTGTCAAACATAATGAGATTGCATATTAAATCACCCCATCTCTATTACATCTCTGATTTAAGATTAAAATTAATTTATTTAACATTGTAGCAGCTGGGTGGTTAGGAAGAAAATCTGTGCTAGTCATAATGTATAGGAAAATGTCTACATCAAAATTGATTTTTAATATATTAGAAAGAATATTGCCCATTTATTAAGTATCATAAAGCCATTTGGCACTGCTTTATATTACATAAGCTTAATGGTCATACATATTGGCGACATTCAGTGTTCTGCCATCATCTTTACTGATCTTTCTGTCTTGAACTAAAGCAACTTATACAAAAAAATTTCTTAAGACTAGGGTTTATTTACCATTGTTTTAAGAAAAAGAATCATAAGTGAACCTTCCTACACCTGCCACCCTGAACATAAATTTATTCTATGTGAGGTCTATTTTAATTTGAAAACTTGAATAATAATAATAATAATAGTAATAGTAGATACTTTTATTGACCATAAACTGTATCTAAGCCCTGCTATGCTTTTAAATTAGCTCCCTATTATACAGCACAATAAACAGCACTCACAAAGTGACTTAATCACGGTCACATGGTGAGTAAATAGCCAGTATGCAGTCTAGGGCAGGGTTCTCAGCACCCTTCCTTACAACAGTCTGTACTATCTCATAAGATGATAAGTAAAGAATGCTCTTCTTTTACTGCTAATGTAACATTGAAACACAAACAAAGTACTTGATAATACATCCTGCTTCGATCCATGTTAGGTCAGATATTTTGGGTGCCTCTGGTTCTCACGCATGAGCCTGTGCCCTAGTCTGGCTCTCCTGACAGCTTTATTCCAGTAGCTTCTACTATTTAATTTTATTCAAGGAAGACTTTTTTTTTAAAAGCCAAGACATGAATCATTGAATTGTACATTTTCATGGTACTGCTGTCTATGCTGACATACATTTTCCCAGCTCCTAGTCGTT